AAGTTCAATGACACATTAGTCCATTTTGTCCAGTCCTTGAATATTTATTGTAACTAGAAAGAAGAAACACATATCAGATTGCTTGTTTCACTTCTGTCAAGTTATCAGTTGAGAAATCAAAATGCTTTCCCGGCTGGATGAGGATTGCACAACAGCCTCTCATTTAAAAGATTGTATTATAATTCTGTCCTTGTGAATCACTAAGGAACTGAGCAAAAAAGAAGAACCTGTGGAAGGAAGTTCCAACAATGTGTTGCTTTGTGATATCAGTGTTTCCTACTTTATAGCAAGAAACAGGTAGAGAACACTTGAGCATGTGCATCAAACCACACACATGCACAAAAATAAAAAAAAAGTTTGCAGGTTTCCTCTGCCCAACAAGTAACTTTAAACTTTGAAACTCTTTAGGTATCAGTTAATCATGCATGAACCTGTGGAAATGCTGGCAAGTAGGAGCAACACCAACACCCCAGGCCTCTACTGAAATACAAGGTCATCATCACAAATTGGTAAAAAGAAAACAGTCTTTAACAATATTGCCACAGACAAAATGATGAGTCTTCAAAGTTTTTCTTTGCACATTTAATACCTTGTCAAGGCCTTTCAATCCAGTTCTATAACTGTCTTTCATCAAGAAGTTTTTTTATGCTTGTTAAGCCACTTAAAAAATACCTGTGAATCATTCCAAACATAAACAAAGCACCATCAATTGACAAATGAAAGGTATCAGACATGTTTGGATAGAGCCATTTTAATTCAGTCAGTGAGCACATTATTAGCTGCTTGTCACAAAGAATAAATTGCTTTTCATTTATTTAGCCGCATCCAAGAATTTTTTTTAAATTACAACAATAAATAAATATAAGTTACAGGCATGAAATAGTATTTTTTTACACCAACAATGGGATTCCTAAAGTTAACTAAAAATTGGCATGGTATTAAATGCATCACATGAAGTGTCTAAAAATTCACTTACATACTGATACATCCATCTGTTTTCTTTACTCGCTTGTTCCTGTTCAGGATCACGGGGATCTGGTGCCCTAACTCCAAGAGCCACTGGGCGAGAAGCAGGTTACGTACAGGTCACCACAGGGCCACAGAGAAACAACCATTTATGATCTCACTCCGAACCAAGGACAAGAGCCAGTTAAACTAACATGCATGATTTTGGATTGTAGGAGGAAGTTGGAGTTCCTGGAGAAAACCCAACTATACATAGGGGAAACATGCAATTTCCATTCAAAAAATATGCCAACTGAACCTGTGACATTCTTGCTGAAATGCTGCAGTGTCAACCACCAATGAATGCAGTGCAACAATAGACACTCAATAAGAAACAAGATATAAAAGAAAACTAGATAGCATCATTGAAAAGACAGCCTGACTTGACGTGTGAATGTATTGTTTAAACAGAGTTATCATGTTTCAATGATGAAATCAGATATTTACTTTATGTGTCAGTGCCTGACTGCAATAATCCCTACCAGAGAAAATGTTCCACAGACTTGGCACACAGTTTCAAAGTGGCCTACGCAAAAGATGACATTAAGGAAGTTGTGTATAACCTCAGCATGGCCAAAAGAATATTTCAAGTAATCATTTGCCATTCAAAAAAATTGCTCAAGAATCAAGTTGAAAGCTCTATCTGATGTACTTTGCAAGATTGAAATGATACTCTAAACATGTTTTTGTTTGTTTGCTTTTGAACATTCCAACACCTTACAGATTTGGCAAATTGGTGCAGAGTTATATATATGGCAGAAGGTAATAAAAGCTGTTTTGTTTATATTTGTTTAACTGCCACCAAAGTGCAAGACCTTCAGCTTCAAAACTGATGTATGCAATAGTATGACACAAAGAAAGAAATGGAAAAGCAAATTATATTTATGTTAGTTTCTTATGCCTAGATTTGCAGTACTTGAGGATATGACAGGAAATTGCTAAATTAACTGTTATTTTCTTTCCTCCAGTTTCTTAAAATACACACAAAAAAACATCACATAACACTTGCACATAGCACAGATTTTCAGCCTAGTGTAGGAACACAGTCAATGGTGTAGGCGACAGAGACCTCCAAAGCTGTGTGCAGAGCTAAAGATCTGAATGAAGGATGCATTGAGACTGCTCCTCTTTTCTTCAGCCCTGTTGACAAAGGCCCCACTTCCCATTCAGAAGAAAAGGTCAATAGATAATACGCACAAGAACCCCAAGGTCATGAAATAGTGTGTGTGTGTGATGGAAAGGGGGGTAAAGGGTGCTCTAACAAACCATGTAAACACTCGTGCAAACTTCTCAATGCCATGAGCTAGTTGCTTTTGCAAAAGATGCACATTTAAAACTGCACATTTCTGCATGCACGCACATCAAATACTTACGAAGCACACACACACAGGCTCATGTCTACACAATCTGACATCAAGGCACCCGCCCACCCCCGTCTCGATCCTTTCAGTTACAAGGCCAACTAAACTGCACTCTGAAAGTTGTCCTTCTTGTTGGCTAAGCACAAGCAAACATTAGGTAAACGCTCTGAATCAATAAACTGTTTGATCAATGAGATGTCAGTGCACAGCTATTCTACCTTTTTTTTTCTAATGAACGAGGGAATGATTTGAATGGAACTGTCAGTTTCAAACTGAAGCCAAGAAGAAGGTGGGTGGAAGGTGGACAAGGAAATCTTGGTGAAGGAAGCGATGCTGAGGAAGAATGGACAAAATGGACAGACTGTGTCCAACACCTCCAGATGAGCATGTGCCATATGTTCATGTAACTTTTCTCATGAATTATTAATCAACTATTTGTCCCAAAGGCAGGGGCGGTCCTAGCCTATTTGGCGCCCTGGGCGAACAACCCCCAGCGC